TATCTTTTCAAGTTAGTGTTTTTGTTTTCTTTGGGTAGATACCCATTGTTGGAATTATTTGATCATATGAGACTTTCATTTTTAATTTTTGGGGGAATCTCCTTATGATTTTCCATAGTGGCTACACCAATTTACATTCTCACCAATGGTATACAAGAGTTCCTTTTCTCTACATCCTTACCAACACTTGCTATTTCTTGTCTTTCTGATTTTAGCCATTTTAAGACCTTATACATTTTGTTTAAGATGGTATCTCGTGGTATTGATCTGTATTTGGGACTTTGCATATGAAAAAGTTAGCTCTATCAGTGTTGAGACACATATCCTGGAGCAAATACTACAGAGATTATTTTATTTGGAGAAAAGTAGCCTGAGAAGGACTTAGTATATTCAGGTTAGAAAGCCATATAGTAATAAGTGCAATTTCCCATTTAATTAAGGAAAGGGCAAGAGGATTAGACTCAAGTAGGAGGGTTTGGGTAACAAATTATGAAGGGCATCTTGTCTGTAAAGTCTGTGAAAGGCTAGAATCCATTACTGGGGGATTTCAGGGATTTCAGTGTGAATAAGTTACTTTTCCTCAGTTTGAAAATCTGATGGCATTTATTTCAAATCATAGTCTCTACAAAGGAAGTTATCTTCGAATGAGAAACATGCATTCATGCCATATCCTTTCCAGAAAGAATTAAAAAAAATTTTTTTAATCAAAAAAAAAATAAAATTTTTAAAAAAATTTTAAATTTTTTTTTAAAAATTGAGAGATTCATTTGAAATTAATTTCATGAATAAATGAAGTAAAAACTCAATTCTAAAATATGTATTAATATAAGGAGCATGGGGCTAATTATCTTGGGAAATCAGAGAAGGCCTAAGAGATTCATGTCAGTATTTATAGATTTATTTTTGGGGCTTAGGTATATGCCTTTACTCTCCATCTTTTAAACAGAGGTACCAGATTTAGTGAACAAATACAGGATGTCCAGTTAAATATGAATTTCATATAAACAGTAAATCATTTTTAATATTAATGTCTCAAGGATTGTATATGTATGATAAAGATTATATGTTCTTTAAATTCAAAGTTAAATTTAACTGAACATCCTATATTTTATCTGGAAATCCTATATAAGAGAAACATAGATCAATTAATCCTGAAGCTAGTGAATCTTAAGTTTTCAGGGTCCCTTACTTACAGAAACATTTTTATCTAACGTTTTAATTGTATAGTTTTTTTCTTCTCCCCAATTATATCAATCTTAAGCTCCTCAAAGCCCGAATTTGCTCCTGCAGGGGAGTAATATGAGGAGACAATAGACAAGGTGAAGGAAGAAGTAAATTTAGCAGACTCAAGAAGATTGTTGATGCCCTTGTCACATTTGGAAATTATTTTCCAGGAGATAATTAAATAATCACTGGGCCTTGAGGCACCTTTGTAGTTGAAACTTCACTGTCATTATATAGGCAAGAGATAGAGGAGTAAGTTTTATATTGTGTTGATATAGCCTTAGAGTGCGTCATCTAAATGCTCTGAGAAATTCAGTAAAACTTCTTTTTTCCATGGAAAACTTATTTTTTCCACGGTCAGCAAGTGAGGAATCAACAGTTTATTTTCTACTCACAAAAATAATCAGGTTTTCAGATATTGTAGATTCATGCCTAAAGGAAGTTTAAAAAATGAGAAAAGCAAAAGCAAATGATCTCTAGAGGAGTAGATCTGGCTTGGTGCCAAGATCCATTTATAGAAAAGGTAAAACTAAATAATGTCTCACTTCTTTATGTAATGTGTTACTCTGTATAATAAATCCAAGAATTAATGACTAAACTGTAGTACATTTAATAGAGACCTTGAGGGTAATAATCTGCTTTTTAATGACTCCAGACAGTAGCTGGTGTTCACATTCCACAGTTTTAGGGCATTGAAATGCTATTGACTTGAGTTTTGGAATCCGACCTTTTGTGACCGTGGAAAGTATTGGTCCTATACTATGCATAATAGGACACTAGATAATTGTTCCTAAGTTTTCACTCCTTTGTCTTATGCCATTGTTATGCCTTCCACTAGTATATGTGAAATATATAACATGGCTCCACTGAGTGGGTTTGACTGTGTAACTACTTGGGCCACTGGAATGACAGTGGGCATGAAGCAACAGAGGTGGCTTCACGTGTGTTTGTGTGTTGGCTTGCCTTGTACTACTGTGATCCACTAGGAAAGAGATGTGCACCTGCAAGCTCCTGGTCATAGGAGAATGTTAAAAACACACAAAGGAGGTAAATCAGTGGTTATGGTTACAAGCCATTGAGATTTGAGATTATTTTTATCCAGCATTTAGAGCTACATTCCAGCATTCTGTAGTCAGCCAATACTTACAGGGCCCATTTTGTTCTATCTTGTGAAACATATAGGTTTCTTTTAGATTTAATAATTCCTTATCCCATGCTTCTGGAATACAGTTTCCTCATTTACTTTCTCTCTATAATCTGCATTGATTTGGCATCGGTGCTATGATTCCCATGTTACTGGTGATGGATTTGAGGACCAAAGAAGTTAAATGACATGTTCAAATTACATATCAACTAAATGACTAGGCTAGGATTTTGAGTTTGTTTCTTTACACCATATCATTAGTTACCTGTTCTTTAATAGGAGCCTGGTCTTATTTAAGATTCTTATGGAACTTGCCTAGAAGCAACTTGAAAGTATACAAGATGTTCTTGAGCACCTTGACACATAAAAATGCTAGTTATAAAAGCTAGGTTTATTAGGTAAACCTGTTTTTCCCATGGGAAGCTCCAGAAAGGTGTGGAGAAAGATTATCCTGAGCTTTCTGTGCTCACTGGTTTTGCTTCTAGAAATTCTAGCCCACATAGGCCTCAATTCACCTCTTAAATTATTGGAACTTGGCTTAAGATTTGATTAGTTTTCAAACAATTTTTGCAATTTGAGAGTAAAGAAAATTATTCAACAATTGACCCGATGAGTTATTTTGTTCCTGGGGTCTTCAATCTGCTCCATTTATTTGCTTCCAGGTACAGTGCAAGAGTTTCATTCATTATATTCTATAAGGTTTTATGCTTCTTTACTTCACAAATAGTATCTCTCCCTATGCAGGCTGCTGTAAGCATTATCTGTTAAAGCATACCTGCTAGGACCTTAAAATTGGAATACAGAGCCTGGAAGTAGGGGGTGCTTTATAGATAGCCTAGGACTTTGAAAATAGTTTTTCCTTATGATTCAGTAGGCTTTCAATCTTGTGACCCTAATTTAATATTTATTGAGTTCCCACAGAGTGCTAAGCCTTCAGGATGCAGGGCAAATTCCATTTTTTGTATTAATTTTGTTTTTACCTGATTTAATTTGTCTTATTTATATTTACTGAAGTATCGCAGTATCATTACAGATGTACTCACAGATCCATTTCACATGGATTGTGGTCCAAAAATGAAGAAGAAAAACTCACACACACTCATGTACACAAACTATGAGTGTTCTGTAGGAACACTAATTTGCTCATTGATTCCATATAATCTGTGCCTCACTTTTTTTCTTGCAAAGTATAGAAACTCGCAATGCTTTGGTTTCCAATTTTATTCTTGAAGGTTAATATGAGAGTTGAGACTGCATAGCCTTCCTATTATTATGCTAATCAACAAAACTACTTTAGGCCCATTTTGAAAGTGAACCCTCTCCTACATTACAAAAAATAACCTTGATTTTCCCATTCAAATTTGTCACCTTAATGTGAATCATAGCAACTTATAATTCAAAGATAAATTATGAAGAGATTAATAAATACCAGTTATTGTCGTCTTAAAATTCTTTCTCTTTATAGATAAGTTATAGACATTTACCATTGGCAGCTCTTCTGTAAAATTGTGTTGGGGGTCCCAGGTCTGCATTTAATGTCAGAGGAACAACAGGCAATATTCAAAGTCAGTAGAACTGAATGTCTCCAGTTCAACAATGTGGAACTGAATAACAGATTGAAAAGTTACAAAATAAAGTTTCTGAAGATATTTTGGAACACTGAGCATTCTGCGTAATAATCCATAATAGGACTAGTGGTCAGTGTTCCATAAAATATTTGCTTTAAAATTAACTGTTGGTACTTTATTTTTAGAACTTGATTCTTTGTTCATTGTGGTTTGGGACAGGCCAGATGTTAGTCCAATTTCTAGTTCTTTATCATTAAAGCTGTAGATGCAATAAAAAGATAACTCCTTAGTCTGAAAAACAAAATAAACTATTTAAAATGGTCTTATGTACATAATACAATATAAAAAAACATGGAAGTATTGATAGGTTAGAGATAAAAGTTAAAGTTCCAACTTTTTTTTTCAGCATCTCAATTCATCATCTTGAAAATCCCTAAGGCGATTGAACCCCATTTTACAGGCCACTGCTTCTGATCCACTAGCTCAACTTTGTAGTAGTTTAGATGATCTGGAGAGATCCCACATTTGTTATTATATGACTGAGCTCAAGTTCATAATTACTCTTTTTGTTTGTTTCTAAATGGTGGCTGTTGTAAAAACTTTAATATATGTAACACCTAAATGTAAAAAGAAAAAAAGAAAAGTATATGCCTCTATTTCCACCCAGGTGACTGGAAAAGCAGAGGAAGTCAGTTTCCATACAGAGAAAGAGAGAGAATTCAGCAGACAAAAAAGTGGAATGGAGTGAAGAGACAGGGAGCCAGCCTAGTAAGTTCCTGGTTCTAGTTATTCTGAGGTCCAGATGTGTTCTGTTTTTAGATTTATAATAAAGTCCTGTACCATTATATCAAATTTTTTAGTTTAATCTAGTTTTTTTTTTCCACACTACAATAGTTAATTTTATTTGTTCAAGGCTCATATCGTAAGCATTAAACCAAACATGGGCTTTGATCCTGTGAGCCCAGATTCACATATTTAGGAAGATAAAAGCAAACTGTCGTCCATGTATATGGAAGAAAAACTAAAGGCTCACAGTTAATCACATGTTGGTTTTAAATTTCTACAGCCTAGAAGCCAGAAGTCACAGATCTTTTAGGCCTTTCTGGATATCCCACAAGGTATCTGCACTTTTCTTGAGCTGGGCAACCTCATCATCCTTCAGCTTCTGATTGATCACACTGATTAAGCCCCGAGCATTCAGGATACATGGAAAACTCAGGAAGACTTCGTTCTCAATACCATACATACCCTTCACAATTGTTGATACTGGATGAATCCTGGAGAGATTTTTCAACATGGATTCAATGAGATCAGCCACACTTAATCCAATAGCCCAGTTGGTATATCCTTTTAGCTTTATGACTTCATAGGCACTTTCAACCACCATCTTATGCACTTCCTTCCAATTTTCACTGTTGTTATCTGTTCCCATTTCTGGATTCAGTTCCTGAAGAGAAACACCTGCCACATTCACTCCGCTCCACACAGCCACACTTGAGTCGCCATGTTCTCCCCAAATCCATCCATGGCAGCTGCTGAGATGAATGCCAAATTTTTCAGCCATAAAATAGCGAAATCTAGCAGAATCCAGATTACACCCACTTCCAATCACACGGTGCTTGGGTAGTCCACTTAGTTTCCAGGTAACATATGTAAGAATATCCATTGGGTTGGAAACCACAATTATGATACAATCAGGACTGTACTTGATTATCTGAGGAATAATGAATTTGAAGACATTAACATTCCTTTACACCAGATTAAGGTGGCTCTCTCCCTCCTGCTGGTGGACTCCTGCAGTCACAGAGTAATCTTTATTTGCCACAATTTTAGGTGTCTGTAGAAATAAGCTCCCATGCTGTAGATCCATCATTTCGCCTTTGAGTTTATCTTCTAAAACATCCACAAGGGCAAGTTTATCAGCCAGAGACTTTCCCAGAATGCTGATGGCACATGCCATACCAACTTGTCCAACACCCACTACAGTGATCTTATTGTTTGGGATCACAGCCTCTTCTTCTGCAACTGGTGCAATCAGTTTTTCCTTAAGAGTTGCCATTGTGCCCCGAGACTAGTGGCTGTAAGAGTCGTGCGAATGAGACCAGGTTAGCTGCGTGCGTCTCCTCCGGCGCAGGATCCGCAAGGAGTTAATCTAGTGTTTTTTTTTTTTTTTTTAAGATTTTATTTATTTATTCATGAGACACACACACACACACACACACACACACAGAGAGAGAGAGGGGCAGAGACACAGGCCAAGGGAGAAGCAGGCTCCATGCAGGGAGCCTGATGTGGGACTAGATCCCGGGTCTCCAGGATCTCTGGGCTGAAGGTGGCACTAAACTGCTGAGCCACCCAGGCTGCCCAAGCTTGGGCTAGTTTGAATGGGCTTCTAGTACTTCTAACCAAAGAGCATGAGGGAGGACAATGGGCACTTTCTACAATTTATGGCCCTTTGGAGATTGTAGCAGGTCACTCACTCTGAGCCCTGATCTTGTAAAAAGAGGAAATTTAACAAGAGCAGAAATGACCCTGCTCTGGAAAGGTCACAGTTGATAATTTTAGTTTTTCAGTTCTGTAAGAAAAAAAAGAACTGGTTATACCTTCACATATGTAAGATTTTTTTTTTAACTTCTTTTTTTTTTTTTTTTTATAAATTAATTTTTATTGGTGTTCAATTTACCAACATACAGAATAACACCCAGTGCTCATCCCATCAAGTGTCCCCCTCAGTGCCCGTCACCCATTCACCCCCACCCCCCGCCCTCCTCCCCCTCCACCACCCCTAGTTCATTTCCCAGAGTTAGAAGTCTTTATGTTCTGTCTCCCTTTCTGATATTTCTCACACATTTCTTCTCCCTTCCCTTATATTCCCTTTCGCTATTATTCCTATTCCCCAAATGAATGAGAACATACACTGTTTGTCCTTCTCCGGTTACTGTGGCCAAGTTCAAAAAGGGTGTTGCCTGAGTTCTTCTCTGGGATTTTGATGGAATCTTGTCTCACATTTAGATCTTTCATCCATTTTGAGTTTATCTTTGTGTATGGTGCAAGAGAGTGGTCCAGTTTCATTCTTCTGCATGTGGATGTCCAATTTTCCCAGCACCATTTATTGAAGAGACTGTCTTTCTTCTAGTGGATCGTCTTTCCTCCTTTATCGTATATTAGTTGAGCATAAAGTTCAGGGTCCACTTCTGGGTTCTCTGTTCTGTTCCATTGATCTATATGTCTGTTTTTGTGCCAGTACCACACTGTCTTGATGAACACAGCTTTGTAGTACAACCTGAAATCTGGCATTGTGATGCCCCCAGATATGGTTTTCTTTTTTTAAAATTCCCCTGGCTGTTTGGGGTCTTTTCTGATTCCACACGAATCTTAAAATAATTTGTTCTAAGTCTCTGAAGAAAGTCCATGGTACTCTGCGCCTTTTGATGGGGTCATTAAGCCCATTCACGTTCAGAGTTACTATTGACAGATATGAGTTTAGTGTCATCATGATATCTATTTAGTCCTTGTTTTTGTGGATTGTTCCACTGACCTTCTTCTTAAAGGGGAGTTTTAAGAGTCCCCCTTAAAATTTCTTGCAGAGCTGGTTTGGAGGTCACATATTCTTTCAGTTCCTGCCTGTCTTGGAAGCTCTTTATCTCTCCTTCCATTTTGAATGAGAGCCTTGCTGGATAAAGTATTCTTGGTTGCATGTTCTTCTCATTTAGGACCCTGAATATATCCTGCCAGCCCTTTCTGGCCTGCCACGTCTCTGTGGAGAGGTCTGCTGTTACCCTAATATTCCTCCCCATGAAAGTCAGGGACTTCTTGTCTCTTGCTGCTTTAAGGATCTTCTCTTTATCTTTGGAATTTGCAAGCTTCACTATTAGATGTCGAGTTGTTGAACGGTTTTTATTGATTTTAGGGGGGGATCTCTCTATTTCCTGGATCTGAATGCCTGTTTCCCTTCCCAGATTGGGAAAGTTTTCAGCTAGGATTTGTTCAAATACATATTCTGGCCCTCTGTCCCTTTCGGCGCCCTCGGGAACCCCAATTAAACGTAGGTTTTTCTTCCTTAGAGTGTCGTTCATTTCCCTTAATCTGTCTTCATGGTTCTTTAATTGTTTATCTCTTTTTTCCTCAGTTTCCCTCTTTGCCATTAACTTGTCTTCTATGTCACTCACTCGTTCTTCCACCTCGTTAACCCTCGTCGTTAGGACTTCTAGTTTGGATTGCATCTCATTCAGTTGATTTTTAATTTCTGCCTGATTGGATCTAAATTCTGCAGTCATGAAGTCTCGTGAGTCCTTAATGCTTTTTTCTAGAGCCACCAGTAGCTGTATAATGGTGCTTCTGAATTGGCTTTCTGACATTGAAGTGTGATCCAGATTTTGTAACTCTGTGGGAGAGAGGGCTGTTTCTGATTCTTTCTTTTGAGGTGAGGTTTTCCTTCTAGTCATTTTGCTCAGTGCAGAGTGGCCAAAAACAAGTTGTATTGGAACACGGGGGAGTATCACTGGTCCGTCCAGCTGGTCTTCTGGGGGAGGGGCCTGCTGTGCTGATTTTCAGGTGTTAGCACTTGGGGGAGCTGCTCTGCCCCTGCCTGCTGCCGGGCTCAGCGGGGGTTGTTTACCCCATGGGGTCCCAGGAGGAACAGCCGCAGTTGCTATGGCAACTCTGGAAGCCTGGATTCAGCCTCCGCAGGAACTACGGGGCTCGGGGCTCTCGGTTCTCCATCCGCAGGGCCTGGAGGCTCCGGGGCGGGGCCGCTGATCTGCTCAGCTCGGGGCAGGAGCGTCCTCGCTGTCCTGGGCCCTCCTGGTCTCTGCCTGTCCCGGGGGAGGCCGGATCCTGGGCTGTGTCCCGGCGCCCTGTGCTCCGGGGCCTGCGCTGGTGGATTCGCGCTCCCGCCCCGCAGCCCCCTCCGCGGAGCCGCCGCCCGAGCCCCTCCGAGCTGCTCCGGCCCCGCCGTGCGCGCTGCAGCCCTTAGGGAGCTCGGCGCACTCTCCCGGGGCGCAGGTGTCTGTTAGTGTCCCCGGGAGCCCGAGGGCATCCCCGCCCTCCTGGGTCCTGCTCCAACTCCCTGCGAGCCCCTTTCCGCCCGCCCGGGAAGGTTGGTGCAGCTCCTGCTCCTCCGGGACGGGGACGGGGCTCTCCTGTCCTGGGGACACTCGCCCCGGCCTCAGCCCGGCTCCTCGCGGGGCCCCTCCCCCTCGGAGGCCTTTTGTTCCTTTATTTCTTTTTCCCCGTCTTCCTACCTTGATAGAAGCGCGAACTCTTCTCACTGTAGCATTCCAGCTGGTCTCTCTTTACATCTCAGGCCGAATTCGTAAATTTTCAGGATGGTTTGAAAGTTATCTAGGTAATTTGGTGGGGACAGGTGACTCGGGGACTCTGCTCTTCCGCCATCTTGCCCCTCCCCCTTTTTTTTAACTTCTAAAAGAGGAGATTCCGTTTAATAAAGAGGTTTTTTTGGAGGCAAAATCATTTGAACATAATATCAATTGGCATAAAGCCTGTCTGTTGAAATACCTTAAGAGATTCTTGCTTACCAATCACTGATGGTAAATGGAAGTGGCTTCCTTAATAAAATACCTGGCTGACTTGCTTTTACATCTGGCAATGGCCATTTTGGGGACAGGACTCAGTAGGCCTGGTAGGAAGGCTCAGACAGATTTTTCTTAGTCCTAACTTTTTTTATTAGATCCAGAAGTAAAATACAAATTTTACATAATCAGTATTTTAATTCTTAACCTTTATTCATTTCCAGCCAAAGGTTTCTTAAAGTTTCCCTTTCAAGGGAAAGGACAAGCAGAAACGGCAGTGGTCACAGAGGTTGGGCTTTCCCTGTTCCCACTCTGCCCATCACTGCAGGTGGCCAGTCCATAGTGGTCATTCTGGCCAAAGGCAGCTTCCAGAACTTCTCTCTGCTTCTCTATATTCTCTGCAATGAGATCAAATGAAATGTGATGATACCTTCACACCCTGAAGATTCAGGGCAGAAGTCACCTGACATCTTGTCTAGATGCCTTTGTCCCCCCTAATTTTCCCCAGCCCAGCACTAGCAGAACTTTAACCTTTCAGAGGAAAGTGATCAGCCCCTGAAAAGTATTATTAGAGAATAAGAGAAAGAGCAAAAACCAGGGTTTTAAAAGAGAAAGAAAAAAATTTCCAGAGGAAGCAATTTTTAACAGTTTCCCCCCAAAAGAGCTAAGTATTATTACTTATATGTTTTATAAGAATTAAAGGAGAAGATGAGGGGCATTTATTGATTTTTCATAATGGAGACTGAGCCCACCACTTGATTCAAGGTCTCTTCTAAATTGCCTTTGGAGTGCTCTCAGAAAAATGGTCACTAAAGATGATTTTGTGTCAGGGGCCACAAGTTTTGGCTTTCTGATTTTTTCCCTGAGTCTTCCAATTACACTGGAATGGAAATAACTGTATTAGTACAGTAGTTCTTCTGAGCTACTTTAGGAACCAATCTAAATGTTTTTTGTTTTTGTTGTGAGGATTCACTTTTTTAATTGTTTATTAAGTTCTTATGTAACAGGCACTTTTCTAGATGCCAGGGGAAAAGCAGTAAATAAAGATAGACAATATCTTTATTTGCAAAAAGCTTAAATTCTGGAAGGGACGAGCCGACAGGTATATAATAAAAGATAGACATAAAGTGTTTTCACAAACTTATAATTGACTAATGTGATTAGGTGACTCCATGGTTAAATTAGGTTGGCATTCTGCTCTGAATGGGTAGCATAAATTGAGGGCTTAAAGAAGAGAAGGGACCAGCCCCACAAAGACCTAGGGTAAAAGCATTCAGGCAGAGGAAACAGCTAATACAAGGCACTAGAGTAGAAATAACTGGTTGTGTTCAAGGAACAGTAAGAAGTCTGGAGCACAGTTGGTGAGAATGAAGTATGAAGCCAGATGAGTCATATACGTAGGCAGGGCCCGGATTGTGTTTCCTTCGTTATCTTTCTAGTGTTTGGTAGTGTCTACCAATCAGGGGAGGGAATTTAAATTTTATTCTGGTACAATGGGAATTGCCTGTAAGGTTGTAAATAGAGCAAT